AAAAAAAAAAATCTATAAAACAGAAGCATTTCTAAAGATTAAGTAAGAATCTTACTAGCTGTCCTTTCAAAATTAACCATGAAATATGTGATGACCCCAAATATAATTGTCTGAGTGGCAATATAAGGAACCTCCACAAGACCCTGTTGTAAAACAATTCAGATGATCCTTAACCTTTTTGCACAAGAACAAAATTTTACAGGATTATGCCCTTTACCTGGGCTGCTGCATAAGCAATTGGAGAGTACATTCCTGCTGCTCTCTCTCTATAGAATACTATCCTCTCAATTGAAACAATTGGCTGCACTGAGGACGCATTATTGACCCCAAGAAACAAGCATGAGGAATAAAGGGCAGCCATAACAATAAACAATCCTTTAGTTGAGTTCCTGCATAAGCATTCGCACACTGAATAGTGTAATATTGCAAAAACAATTGCAGCAAACAATTGACACTATAACAATATACATTTTAAGAATAATACAGTTAACAATATACTTTTCAGCTGGCCCAAAAAATAAATAATACACTTTTCACTGTAACAATCCTTTAGTTCACTTCAAGCATAAGGTTCTGGCAAATCAAAAAAGTATTGTGTGAAGTAGAAAACATTAGTGAGCCATGAATGAGTTAACCATGGTTAGAAAAAGATTGTAATTACCAAAAGGAACTAAATTGCTTAAATATACCAGATCATTGCCTGTCTTGCTTAAGTATATCAATTTTCAACCACCTTACAATCATGTTAATATAGATAACTTATGTTCTTGATTGCTCTGAAATTAAGAAGATATAAAGAAACTTATTATTCTTCAGGGAGAAAAACAATTTAAGAACTAGTAGAAACTGGGAATCATAGAAAGTAGCAAGAATGGCCAGTTCACTTGAGCATTGTATTTGAATTCTTAAAATATATATATATATATATATATATATGAATTATATTTTATAACATGCAGAGTCACACAGAAACATGAAATAAAAAAAGAACATTTACCTTTGCGAACCAACATCCCAGAATACAGAGCCAAATATTATGGCACTCACTGTGGTGAAGACCAACCTCACCATGTTGTATCGTGGACTTCTCCAATATACAAGATTTTGCTTCCACAGGCAGATCCAAAATTGAGAAAGTTGATCTTGAGAAAAAGTGGAAGAAAACCTTAATGGTTCCGATCCAGGAGGTGGAACACTCAAGCACATGATAGAATTTTCCACTTCTCTGTAACAAGGATATGAAAAGACCCAAGCAATTCAATTAACAATAAGAGTCGATAAAGAAAATAGGGATAGTTCATCAGGGAAAAATGAAGAAGAAGTAACCAACAACATCAGCATCATCTTTGCTTTCAAGCAACATGGGATCAATTAGATTACCTGTATTGCTCAGAATTTCTGTATATCTCAGCAAAGTCACTATCAATTTTTGCTTCAACAGCAGCAGTAGTAACCTCAAGCATCCATGTTGCTGGATTATATCCATTAGGAATAGGTGGAATTTCACTAATTCCCTGTACAAAATTAATGAAGAAAAAAAGAAGAAGAAGGAAACTTCTTATATATTCTGATACTATATGCAGGAATGGACCTTGACCAAAATTAAAGCGGGGCCAAAAAATTCTTTCTATCACATGTAAATATAATATGGGTTTTTCTGAGGGTACAGATTAAAAATGCAAAATGTTGAACTTTATTTACATTAATTTGCATTAAAAAAACAAATGTTGACCTTTATTTAATCAACAATCCAATTAAAATAATTGTGCATTATTTGTGCATTGATATAGGTTTTTCTAAGGACATAGATTTTAAGCCTTTGTGTTAAATGTGCATATTATTTGTGTATTACCTGTGCATTTTTCGTAGTTTCAATATTTTTATGATTTATGTCTTTAAGCTTTATTTAATGTAGTTTTTGCATTTTATTATATAAATTTATTATTAATTATAAATTTTCTTTGATACTTGAACTCCTCTTGTTTTTTAAGGGAAAGGTAAGGCTTGTGTCCAACCCCTACCTTGTTCCAACATGAATATCACACAATTTAAATTATTTCATTTGCTCTAGTTATAAGAGGTTCTATCCTAAAATCACTTTTCACAAACATTTATTTTAGATTCTCTAAAATTATCACTTTCACTAAATTAGGGGTTTTTTTGGAAAATTAATATAAAATGTCAAAAAATTGCAATAACTGCTTTATGCCAATATAATTCTTTTAAGGATAATCACAACAGAAAAACAAAAGCACTTTATAAAACTATTTTCTTTTATTTCAAATAAATTCTTTGGGATTGGATTTAAATCCTTAACTAAAATTTTTAGACCCAATATTTACTTATTTACTAGATTTAAATATATATATATATTAGTTTTTTTTCTTTTTCTTTTTTGCCTTCACTTTATTTACCAGAATTTTCATAAAAAAACATATATAACTATATGTGAAACAAAAGAATCTTATGTTAAACTATAATCCCCTTAAACATCTAGACAAAGGTTTGCCCACAGGTTTTCTCACATATATGTTTATGTAATCCCATCAAGTTACATAATATTGAATGGCTTCTTCGACACCTGTGAATCATAGAAGTTCTAAAACTGAAAACAATGATATTGGTAAATGCAACATCACCTGAAAATAGTCTATCAAAATCTTTGAGTGCAGGCCTAGTTTTCCTCCATATATAACCCTTCCCCCTCGTTTCAAGAGCAGCAGCTGAACATCAGAATTTACATATCATTCAATTGAAAAGAAACAAACAAATATCATAAATAGTTCTTGTAATGTTTTGAAAATCCAAAGTTACAATCATACTGACCTCATCAAATGCTTCAAATATATCAATACTCGGTTGGTGTATGGTGCACACCACAGTTCTTCCAGTATCAACAGTGTTACGGACTGTTCGCATCACAATTGCTGCTGCTCGTGCATCTAGTCCAGATGTAGGTTCATCCATAAAAATAATAGAAGGATTTGCAACGAGTTCCACTGCAATAGTTAAGCGTTTTCTCTGCTCTGTTGATAAGCCACTACTGCCAGGCAAACCAACCAGAGCATGCCTTAGACCATTGAGCTCTACTAATCGCATCACCTCTTCAACAAACTCCTATATTGAAGTATAGTGAAACTATGTAAAAAAAAACAGCCAAATTCAACAAAACAAATATAACTATTAGAACTATTGCAGCTCACATGTCTTTGGTCATTGCGAACTTCTTTTGGAAGGCGAAGACTGGAAGAAAACCATAGAGACTCTTCAACTGTCACCTGAGGAGAGTGTATATCATTTTGCTCAACATATCCTGAAATTCTTGCAAAAGTTTTTTGCTCTTTTGGGTAGCCTGATATCTTAATATCCCCTTCAATATATCCACCAGTTTTCCTGCCAGCAAGCACATCCATCAAGGTGGTCTTTCCAGCTCCACTTGACCCAACTAATGCCGTAAGAACACCTGGTGAGAATACTCCACTAACATTTGACAAGAGCTGCAATTTCTTTTCAGGTATCCCTTGTGCACTCATTTCCTGAGAAATTCAGCCAGAAAGTGAGTGAGAGAGAATAAAAACCAATTGGGTTAAGTGATGCAAAAGTTTAGAAAATAAAAACCATGAGATACACACACCTTAGGCATATCAACAAAGTAATTGACATTATGAAAAGTCATTGTTAATTGTTGAAATGGTAGTATCATCCCCTTTTGTTCACTGCCCCCAGGAGCAGATGTCGAACTCAACTCATTTTCTGCAGCACCGACTTCATAATTAAATGATATTTCTTAGTGTAACTCAAATTCTTTCAAAAAAATAATAAAAGCAAAAGCTAAACAGATTGCCAGGACATGTATTAAAAGATGACTGACCATTCCTGGCAAAACTTTCTTCTATGAAATCAGAAGCAGCAATTGCTTGGGTCTGTCTGAGAGCTATCATGAGCAAAGATAAAGGGGGGAAATATTTATAAAAGTAATTAGTAAATACAATAAAACAGTAGAGAAAGTAAACTGGACACTACTACTACTACTACTACTGCTAATAATAATAATAATAATAATAATAATAATAAAATTAATAATAAAAATTGTAGGAAGTAAAATAAACAGAAAATTCTTTCTTTCACTCAACATTAAGGTTTGGCTAGAAAACACTCACGATTAAGGTAAGCCAGAGCCAGTGTCACCAAGTTGTTGAAAAGCAGTGCATAAAGTAACAAAACACCTACTCCAAGCCAATACCAATAATCACCATCAGGTAAACCATGTAAGTTTAGAACATTATACCCAACTGTGTTGTTCCCCAAAGCAGATTTCTGCAAGAACTTAGGATGTTATATTATATATTCTAAATTAAAACCAATATAAATAAATAAATGAAACAGTGATATAAGTCTCCTTGTATGAACCTTGTTCCACCTTGTAGCAGTAAATTCATTAACAGAGATTGCTCGTTGTCCATAGGATAGTGGTGAAAGCCAAAAGGCCCAAATCCACCATGGCTTAATTTGATCTGAAAGAAGAACCAATGACTAATGATAACTAGGTATCACATTACCAAGTACACCAAGAATTAAGAAAGCCAACCTTTTGGCATGATAAATCCACCCAATAAAAAAATGACTTCTATTGCAGCTGATCCAAATGTATTGGCAATGACCATATCACGTGCTATAGAAGCCATCATCCGGAAGAGACCTAGTGCCATCTGGTGTATTGAAAAGAGTAAGAACATGAAGCGGAAAAACCTGAAATATAAAACCAGAAATCAGTATATATTGAAGAAATTACAAAAGATAAACGTGTCTAAAAGTACAACTGAAACAAGAGATACCTCCCAGCAGTAGGGGCAAAACCGACTGTGTAATATACCACACAAGACCACACTACAGCTTCTATAATGGAGTAAGGCACACGTAGAATCCAACTGGCAATAGACCATGCCCATGCAGGATGAAAAAGATTATCTCGTTGCTTATAAAATACTGGCAGTCGAAATATCATAAGTGACAGCTCAGAAAGTCCATTAAACATCATGTGCACCAACCCAAAGAAGAGGCAAGAGAGGTAAAGGTTGCCATTTGTTTCATCTGTTGGGTGCACCCTTGTCCTCAAGAAAATTGTGCTCATTACAAATCCAACAAATGTGACCTTTAATATAATCAGCAATTAAATATAAGAAATGGAAATTTATCCGAAGAACTTCAAAAGGAAAATTAAAAATATAATACAAAGACTAGGTATTGCAGTAAAAAAAATGAAATATTATAAATAAATAAACTCTGGTATATGTACTGTGAGCAAATTGCCAATATTAAGCTTCTCTCTTTTTCTTCCTTTCTTCCAGAAGAAAGAAAAGTGGACAGTATCCCTTTCAGAATTATATTTATATGACATTTAAAACATAAAAGTAGCAAAGTGTACCTGGAGTGTCCTAAAGATATAAAGGAAGCGATGCCTTCTGATTAGAAGCAACTCTCTGGAAAAGCATGCCTTAAAAAGCTCCCACTTTGATATAGCAAATTTTTTCCTGGACAAAGCTGAGGGATGACTCCCAGATTTATCATATGGATGGGCCAGTGTTGACTCCAAGCACTTCCCAAATCTGGAACTTTTAAATGCATTTGCAATTTCTGAAACAGGAAGAAACACATACGGCTTTGATGGATCAGCCCAGTACTGAGCTTGATCCTTTCTGGAGGTCACCTGGAAATATGACAGTATGACACCGTGACAAGAAGTTAAGAAAGCTCCTGTGGATATAGAAACACCCAACCTAAAGGTAAATTTGAAAAAGTACCTCCTGAAGAAAATCTGCAATTCCCTTACGTGGTGGTAGCTGGAATCCCAATGATTCAAAAAATTTCAACACTTCTGCTCGAGGGCCTTGATAAACCATGTATCCTTCTGATAGTAGAATTAGATCATCAAACAGCTCAAACGTCTCAGGTGCAGGTTGCAGAAGAGCCATTAGGACAGTTCCATCCATCAGATGAACAAAGTTTCGAATGCATTTTACAATTTGGTATGTTGTGGAGCTATCTAGGCCGGTTGATATTTCATCCATAAACAGCGTTTTCCTTGGTCCAACAATCATTTCTCCTGCATAAGTAGAATCACTGACAATTATTATCAGATGAGAGATTATCACAGAATTGACAATTCTAATCATAAAAACATTCAATTCTCTGTCAAAGTTCAAATCATGGGAATTGACAATCCTAATCATAAAAACTTTCAATTCTCTGTTGAAGTTCAAAACATGGTACAGCCCTTGATAAAGTAATTCTTTGTAGAAACAGTTCATGCTGCATCAATGACCAATCTTCACCAATTAGTCAACTGTCCTTCACCAAATATACTCCTACGGTGCACAAGTTTGCAAGTGAGAATAGTTTTCATTTTTTTTCATTTTGAAAATAAAAAATCAACTGCTTTTAACTAATACCCATGGAGTTCAAGTATAAGAAAGAGAGCCAGAGTAGCTGTCGCAGAAACACTCAAAAATAAACAAAGCAAACTAAACCCCCAAGCCTTAGAAAATCAAACAGCAGAAACTAAGACAAAGCAAGTAAAATCCCTCAGCAAAAAAACCAGGAAAAAAAAGAAGAGAAAGCATTGGCTAGGCCATCAGCACAAAGCATTGGCTTCTCATAAATCATAAGTACAACAATTATTGAATTAGTCATGAGAACCTAACAGAGTTCATTTCTAAGCATACAATAACACTAAGAGAGAGTGAGAGAGAGAGGGGACCTGTGGTAACCCTTTTTCTTTGGCCACCTGAGACACCTCTGAGCATATCATTACCAACTATTGTCTCTGAACAAACATCAAGGCCAAGCACTTTCAAGACATAGTCTGTTGAAACACTGTGCCTTTTACCACTGACAGATGATGCCTGCAGAAAATGAAAACGCAAACACAACCTAAATCATGATAGTAAATACAAAGTTTAACACATTTACACACATAAAGAGATAATGACCTTCATAAAAGCATCAATCTCTGGACTGGGATGGATGTTCCTTTCCTTCTCCAAATGGGCCAGATCTTGCATATAGCCTAAAGGTTAAAGATTTAAAAAATAGCACGAAAATCCATATCATGTATACAATAGCACATGCAATTTGTATGCTTTTCTATTTGTATAAATTGCAAACAATTACACGTTGGTGAGTGTTGGCCTTATATACTCCATTTGAATCTAAAACAACTCAAATTTTGGTTGGGTTTGGCCAAAACTCATATTAAGTAAACTATTTTCCTGGTCAAATGGCAGCTATCTAGGTTAAGAGACAAAGAAAGGTCACTGTAAACGAACCAGGTGAGGTGTACCAGAGTTAAAATTTAGATCATGAAAAGAAAACTAAAAAGAGTACAAATGAACCAACTGAGGTGCACCATATGAATTAAAACCCAAACAAAAAGGAAATGAGAACGATAAAATCAAGAGTTTTGCCACGCAATGACATTCCATTAAACAATAAAAACAAACCTGCAAAGCCTTCACTTGCCCCTTGGCATCTAGCTGCAAAATCAAGCGTTTCCCGTACTGTGAGCTCTGCGATGTGATTGTCTGTTTGGCTAATGTATGCGGAAGTCCTTTTAACATAGAAATCGTCAAGCGTATGGCCATTGTACGTAATATTCCCACTTTTCTACAAAAGAAAAAAAATAAGCAAACTTGTGATCAGTACTTCTTGCTAAACGAAAAGTTAAAAACATGTATTCAGTTGGAACAGTTATCCAAGAGAAATTTTTTTTCTTTCGATTTTAATGCAGTTGGCTTTGCAATTGGGGAAAAAAGGGTCCTTATGAGAGCTTCACTCGAAAAAGTGTTTTCCAGTTTAGATTACTGGATTGCAAAACATGAATCGTAAGATGGGAGAGGCCCCAATCCCCGTCTAAGTCCCTGTCTTGCAGTGCCGCACTGCAAAACACCGGACTCCTCACTCTATTCAAACAATTACGACTAGTTTTTAACAGGAGCATACAATTCTCAGTAAATGATTTCCAGGGGAATCAAAATGTGACAGTGCAATAAAAAAAAGGAGGTCACTTGTCGATTAACTCAGAAGAAGGGTAAAGAAAGGAAACGCTGTCAAAACAGCCTTAATATCATTAGTTCGCTAGCCGCCGGAGAGGTAATGCCTCTAACGAAGGACTGCTAAAGCAGCCTTCAAGACCGCTGTTTCTCCACGAACAGAACAAACCAAGCAAATCTGTAGCACGCTCCGACGACAAATTTGCTTGCTACTTCCACTCCACAGAAAATTCCGATTTCCTACGAAAGTTTACTTCGGAATTTGGACAGCTAGAGCCCAGGGGGAAAGCTTGGGTTAACCCGTCAAGAAAAAACCGAAGGATCAAGTTTGCTGGATTTGGGCTTGCAAGTCCATTAGTTCAGAACCACCACCAGCCCACTAAGAAAAACGTTTTCTGATTTTCCTTTTTCCTCCATCACATTCACATAAATAAGACAACGATAAGATCAATTCATAGACGCTGAATTTACTAACATTTAATTGAGCAAAAAGCAATCTGGTTGGAAGATATCAAAATTCGCTTTTGAGATAGCATCAAGTGTGCTCAAGAAACTTGTGAACGTGATGTTAGTTTTTAGCAACAAACACAGAACTATTATAATTAGTGATAGGATCTTTGAGCTAACCTTCAAATTGTTGGCAAGTTTCCCAGCCAGAGCCAGAAGCAAGGTGGATTTGCCTGATCCCGGAGGTCCTAAGAGTAAAGTCATCCTAGATGGAGCAAAATACAAGTATTAATACACACACAACCAAAGCACTGAAAAGTTGAAAGATATGTATGACTCCAATATTAATTGATTTCTTTTCCTTGAACTAATTTAATGCACCGAATTCTTGTAGAACCATGGTAGATATATACATATTATGTTTTAGTTGTGCACAGTTCAATCCTAGCTGTGTAAAGGCAGAAAAATGGACCTCAAGTCTGTCAAACTATATGAACAGCAGATTACTTAGCGTAAACATATTTTGTTCATTCATTAACTTATCTTTCATTGGATAAAGAAGAGGAAACCCAAAGTCAAAGGGCAAAGAAAACACATTGGTTACCTTCTTGGTTTCACAACACCACTGATGTTTTTCAAGATGGCTATCCGGAATTTATTAGGTTTTAAAATCCTCAATCTTGTCAGGATATTCTGCAATGAGATATATATCAGCAGGTGCTGCATATTAGCTAATTTGTAAATTGAAGCTAAAAGAAAGAAAGAAAGACAGAAAGAAAGAAAGAAGAAGAAGAATGACAAACTCAACCTCAAAAAGGTCACGGGCAATATTGATCAAAGTAGGAAGAGCTCTTGAACCAATTTGAACGTCGGCCTCAATGTTTAAGTTCTCAAATCTTACTTCAACTTTTGGCACTTCCAATCCAACTCTATTAATGATAGCCAAAAACAAAAGTTCAACTCCATTAAAATATGTCCACTGAATATAAATAATAACAACACTTATATAAAATTTATTTCTCTATTTAAACATGGAAACAATTAATAAGTGACACAATTTTTTTAAAATTCAAAACAAGAATAAGGAAAAAGGAAATTGCTCTTCCACTTTTAATCTATAATCAAGAACATGGTACATAATTAGTGCAATTTAACTACAGTAATCAAAGAATCATCACATAATTAATGCAGATCGGTAATGGATCAAACATCGCAGATATATATATCACACTTCTAAAACCAATTAGCATTTTTCAGTGTTAATTGATGCCGAAACCAGCTAGTCTACAACATCACCGATCACGAATGGATCAACTAAGTATATACAAAGTTATCAACATCAAATTTACAATCGAAAAATTAAAAATCTAAAATCGGAAACATTTTCAGGATCAGTACCTATCAAGGCGTTCTTTAACGGCGGAGAGCAGCTTGAAATTATCCTGCTCATTGGTTGCGAATGCCTTCTTCACAACGAGTTCTCTCTCCCTCCGATCGAGCTTCCTCACATCCACTACCGTATCGTCAATCGTCTCATCATTTCCTCGTCGCTCCGACGTATTTCTCCTAATCAAAGCGAAGTTGCCTCGCTTCTGCGACGGCAATCTGGCGAGCGCGGCCCACAGCAGCTCCTCCTCATCATCCTCCACGAAATCGGCATTTGACGCCCTCGCAAATGACTCCCTCCCTGCTTCCATCTCCAACTCGAAGTACTCCGTCCCGTTCGAGACCGCCATAGCTAATTCGCTCTTATATATGCTTTCCGATTATCCTCTCTTCACTAAAAATCTCATTTATTTATAGATTCAGTCTCAATGATTCTTCCTTTTGAGATTTGTAAAGTTAAAATTCTCGTTTTGCGAATCTGTTAAATAGGGGAGAAATACGAAGAGTTTTTCATTCAGTTAAAGGAGGAGAGGAGGAGAGAGAAAGCATTGGGACGCAACGCAACGCAACCCCCCGCCATTTTTGAAGTTTTTGAGATGAAATACCGAAATTGCCCGTAAACGAAACCGGAAAGTTTTGATTTTGATTTTGATTATTTAGTTTGTTTTCCAATTTATTTTCACCCTAAATATTTTTAAAAAGATGTTGCTTATAAGGGATGGGTGTATATTAGTTTTAATTCTTAAAAAAAAAAATTAAAACTTTAAATGGTATTTAAAAATTGAAATGTTAATTTAAAATTTAAAAATTTTATCAATTTTTAAATTTAAATATTAATATTTAATAAGATTATTTTTTAAATTTTAAATTAAATTTTAATTAAATAAAATGATGAAATTTAAGATTAAAATTCAAATTATTTTTTGGAGTTAGAATTAATATATACTTTTCTTTACTTATAATGTGATTTTTGTATTTTTATATATTAATATTATAATAAAAAAGATAAAATTAATTTTTTTATTTTTTATTTTTCAATATAATTTTAAATTTGTAAATTTCTT